CTGTGATGGTGTCAGCAGGATGTCTACGCTGGGGCCTCTACCACCGGCGTGCATGTTAGGAGAGCGACGAGAACTTCAGCTCAGGATAACCGTGCCAAGAGCCCTTTGTCCCCGGATCATGCCGGCGATGAGTGCCCTCGTGGGTGCAACTGGTCTACAAGGGTGTATCGACGCTCGGGCCGACACCGGAGCATCAGGAACGAGGCACTTCACAGGATGTGCGCAGAGGAGCTGAGGGAGTGGTCAAAACTTGAGGGAGGGGTCTATTGAGCTGGGTGTTTGTGCACCTCAGTATCCTCTGTTTTGTGTGCTGCTGCCACCTAGCTGTCGTACGCCAGAGGGCGGTCTTCTTCTCCGCTGCAGGAGCCTCTCTCGGCTGCCGCTAGTGGCCGACTTTGACCGACGCGGGAGCATTCCCGGGTTCGTAGTGCCACTCTGGATGGAGTCGGGCTGAACCGATCGCCAGCTGATAGGAAGCTCGACCAGGGCTCATCGTGAGGAGGTCGAGTATGAGATCAGTACACGTGGGAGATCAGTAGCATCCATTGATCTCACACGTCCATCTAAAAGCCGTTTGTGGAACTCTGAACAGGCGGTATAGTGCGCGCGTGCTGCGGGATCCGATATTTTTGGAGCTGGAAGGGGTGCTCAAGAGAACAGAGCTGCCCCCTAAATGTCTGAACTATGGTATGACCTCTCTCCCCGGCAAGGAAAATGTAGTGGCTATCCATATATGCAGCGCTATAGTTCTTAGAAACAGTTTTTCCCCTGCGACACAGCCATGCTCCGGCCCCAGTGACCTATATGCCAGCGCCTATGAACCTAACACCAGCAGTCCCGGGCATATGCAGTGCATTTTTAGAAACTGGGATGGATTTAGACCGGAAATGTCGTAGCACATGAACAAGCGGCCTTCAAGCAGCGACGCAACCACATCGCGTGCTCCGCGCGCGTTTCCTCGCGGAGCGCAGGCCGCGCGTGCATTTGCATACGCCCGACGGATATCCGTCAGCCACGTGGAAATATTTTCCCCGCCCATCTTATAAGGAGCAGGAAGAACGCTCGCCCCGCTGACCTCCTCCGCCTGCTTCTCCTCGCGAGGGCCGGTGTCAGTCAAAGCGTTCTCCGAAGAGGCAACGATTTCCAGCGCGTAGCTGGAACAACCACTGAACCCATTCATCGTATCTTGTCGACACGCTATCATCGGATATTTTACGGTGTAGAAATTATAGGGATCTCCCGGAGCGTCTGCGGCAGATGGCGCCGCCCAGTCAGTGCTGTCCCTGCAGACTGCCCGGCAGGCCGGCGGCGGCCGGGCGGCGGGTGGGCGGGACGCCGCTCGATGCGTCACTGTCCGGCGCACCAGTTGCGCCCAGACAGCCGCCGCCGGCCGGGGACACGATCGCGGCCAGCGTGCCACCTGTACGGCTTTGTTTTGGTCACACCCGCCGTCTGGCCTGTCTATTTAGAGCCGACGCCGGCTCGGAAAACATGTGATTATCTGCACGAGCCGGCGCCACATCGATCGCACGTCAAACTGCGGACTCTCAAACGCCACGGGCCCGACTCTCAAAAGCCACGGAACAGGCTCACAAACGCCACAGGCCCGGCTCACAAACGCCACGGAACCGGCTCGCAAACGCCACAGGCCCAGCTCACAAACACCACAGGCGCAGCTCACAAACATCACAGGCCCAGCTCACAAACACCACAGGCGCAGCTCACAAACGCTACAGAACAGGCTCACAAAAGCCACAGGCCCAGCCCACAAACACCACAGGCGCAGCTCACAAACACAACAGAATAGGCTCGCAAACGCCGCAGGCCCAGCTTACAAACGCCACAGAACCGGCTCGCACACGTCACAGGCCCAGCTCACAAACACCGCAGGTGCAACTTACAAACATCACAGGCCCAGCTCACAAACACCACAGGCGCATCTCACAAACACCACGGAACAGGTTCGCGAACGCCACAGGCCCAGCTCACAAACACCACAGGCGCATCTCACAAACACCACAGAACAGGCTCGCAAACGCCACAGGCCCGGTTCTCAAACACCCAAGCCTCGACTCACAAACGTCACAGGCCCGGCCCACAAACTCTACCGACGGCAGGCGATGCGCCGTTCTGTTACTCGTCTGGTCTGGTACTGAGCTGGTCTGGCGCTGAGCTGGTCTGGCGCTGAGCTGGTCTGGCGCTGAGCTGGTCTGGTGCTGAGCTGGTCTGGTGCTGAGCTGGTTTGGAGCTGAGCTGGTCTGGTGCTGAGCTGGTCTGGAGCTGAGCTGGTCTGGAGATGAGCTGGTCTGGAGCTGAGCTGGTCTGGAGCTGAGCTAGTCTGGCGCTGAGCTGGTCTGGAGCTGCGCCGCTCTGGTGCTGAGCTGGTCTGGAGCTGGGCTGGTCTGGAGCTGAGCTGGTCTGGAGCTGAGCTGGTCTGGAGCTGAGCTGGTCTGGAGCTGAGCTAGTCTGGCGCTGAGCTGGTCTGGAGCTGCGCCGCTCTGGTGCTGAGCTGGTCTGGAGCTGGGCTGGTCTGGAGCTGAGCTGGTCTGGAGCTGAGCTGGTCTGGAGCTGAGCTGGTCTGGTGCTGAGCTGGTCTGGAGCTGAGTCGGGCCTCGGTCCGCCGTCGGCCGGCCCAGGAGACCGGAGCGTCGATGCCGCCGCTCCCATCGGCCCGCCGTCGGCCGGCCCGGGAGACCGGAGCGTCGATGCCGCCGCTCCCATCGGCCCGCCGTCGGCCGGCCCGGGAGACCGGAGCGTCGATGCCGCCGCTCCCATCGGCCTGCCGTCGGCCGGCCCGGGAGACCTGAGCGTCGATGCCACCGCTCGCCGCGCCGCCGCTCCCACGGTTATTACCCGTAATGGAGCCGCCGGTCGGCTGGGCCGGCGCCCGGCAGCGGCTCAGCGACTGCGCCGGTGGGTATCCAGGGCAGAACCGGACGGGGCGGCCTGATCCCGCTCATGTGAGCAGCACATCTAGCTCGAACCGGTCGCTGACGCGTGTCCGTGCAGATTGGAGGCCGCAAAACCGTCGCGGCCGGGCGCGCGCACGACTCGACACAGCGGCTGGCGGGCACACACAGCCTCGAAAAGAGCGGCCACACCGAACCGTGCTGCTCTGTGTGCGGAAGAAGTGGCTACTTCCTGTGCGTTTCGGAGCGGAGTCCATTTACTGATTCGTTCCCGGTAACGGTTGCCACCGTCGGAAAATCTCAAAACACATCTTGGGTAAGCGGCGCTGCGCAATTGCCGCCTCCTAGAGGTGGTTATCGATTACTCGAATAATTTGATCGTTAATCATTTGGGAGGCTGGCGGACACGCATGCATTAGAGGAGTCTGTCCGCTGGGCTGGGCCGGCGCGGGGGCGGGGGAGCTGCTCTGACGGCGCCGGCTGGGATTGAGGGACCGGCTCTCCGGCGGCCGAGGCGCCCGTCACCCAGCTGCTGAGCCGAGCCGGCCACGCTCGATAACACCGGTGCGGCCTGAGCGGGGCGCGTCGCCACGGCCGGACGCAGCCGACCCGGGGGCGGCGGCGCGGCCGGTGCACACGGCCCGCCGCTCGGACCTCTGACCGGCACCCGCCGCCCGGACCTCTGGCCGGCCCCGCCGCCCGGACCCCTGGCCGGCCCCGCCGCCCGGACCCCTGGCCGGCCCCGCCGCTCGGACCTCTGGCCGGCCCCGCCGCCAGGACCCCTGGCCGGCCCCGCCGCCCGGACCCCTGGCCGGCCCGCCGCCCGGACCCCTGGCCGGCCCCGCCGCCCGGACCTCTGACCGGCCCCCGCCGCCCGGACCCCTGGCCGGCCCCGCCGCCCGGACCTCTGACCGGCCCCCGCCGCCCGGACCTCTACCGGCCCCGCCGCCCGGACCTCTGACCGGCCCCGCCGCCCGGACCCCCTGGCCGGCCCCGCCGCCCGGACCTCTGGCCGGCACCCGCCGCCCGGACCCCTGGCCGGCCCCCGCCGCCCGGACCTCTGGCCGGCCCCGCCGCCCGGACCGCTGACCGGCCCCCGCCGCACCGGCTCAGCTGGGCGCCGCCGATCGCTCACCGGTAAAGGGTGGCGCGATGTTATCGGATCCGGCTGCGCCCCAGTCTCCGGGCCGCCCGCACAGCTGGCGCGTCGACTGGGAGACGCTGGGCGGCAGCGCGGGTCAGGCGGATCTCCACCGTTCGCCGGACGGGTCAGGCGCAGTTCCGCCTTACGCCTGGCGGGTCAGGCAGAGCACTGCCGGTCGTCGGGCAGGTCATACGGAGCTCTGCCGTTCGCCAAGCAGGTCAGGCAAAGCCCCGCCGTTCGCCGGGTGGGTCAGGCGCAATTACGCCTTACGCCGGGCAGATCAGGCGGAGCTCAACCGTTCGTTAAGCGGGTCCAGCGCAGTTCTACCGTTCGCCGGGCGGGTCAGGCGCGGCTCCACCGTCCGCCGGGCGGGTCAGGAGCAGCTCCGCCGTTCGCCAGGCGACGCCGTGTTCACATTCGGTCGGTGCGGTGGGCGGGCGGGCGGGCGGGCTTCATACCGCCTCGGCCGGCCCGTGCAGGCGCGCTGCTGCAGACCGCTGCGAGCCCACGCTCGGCCCCGTCCGGTTTCGCCGCCATATACGGGTCGCGAGAGGTCTCCGCTGTCGCCTGGCGTGCCGGCTGACCGTTACCGCGTGGACAGACGGCGCTTGTAAACACTGCGCCTCGTCATCGCTCAGCCAAGCGCGCATTCGGGCTCAGCAGGGGCGTCCGGACCTCAGTTGTAGTGAAAAACACCCAGCTACATTCCGTGTAGCATGGAAACGGCAGTTAGTTGCATTTCCTGTTAAAATGTGTCGTACCGCCCTCGTGCATCGTATACATGTCATCGATCCTTGTCTCGGGCAGGTAAACTCCACAGCGCTGCGTTGTCTCACCACTGTATCGTGTCGTTGTGTGCTGTCCGCTGTCTTGATGGGGCCGGTGTCCCACCATCAGTCAGCAGCGCCGTCTTGTCCGCAGGCGCTCCACGACGAGATCAAGTCTCACCACCGTATCGTGTCGGGTGTGTGCTGCCTGCTGCCTTGATGGGGCTGGTGTCCCACCATCAGTCAGCAGCGCCGTCTTGTCCGCAGGCGCTCCACGACGAGATCAAGTCTCACCACCGTATCGTGTCGGGCGTGTGCCGGCTCTGCAATCAGCTGTCCGAGGGTGGCGCCCGCCGGCGACTGGCGCGTGTGGCCGACCGGCTGGACACCAGCTGGCAGCAGATCTTCCTGCGCGCATACGAGTGGACCTGCCACCTGGAGGGTCTGCTCGACCAGTTCAAACAGGTCAGTCCCAGTCAGGCAGATGGTCGGGCGGGTTTACAGATGATCGGGCGGGTTTATAGATGGTCGGTCGGGTTTACAGATGGTCTAGCGGGTTTACAGGTGGCCGGGCGGGTTTACAGGTGGTCGGGCGGGTTTACAGATGGTCGGGTGGGTTTACGGATGGTCGGGCTCGGGATGAAATCGGCATACGGGTTGGTGGTCATCATGCTGTGTGGTCCTTAATGGGCTGTCCTTTGGCATCTTCTTCGAACCGACACTGAAGCTGAAGCCCTGCTGAAGCCGTCGCCAGGCAGCGTCCCGGGGTGCACGCCGGCGGCGAGCCGCTGATGCTAAAGTGTGCGTGACTGCGTGCGTGCGGCCCGACAAAGGCACATGGCTCGGCCGGGTCACGTGTGGCCGGGTGGGGTGCGGGCGCAGGCCAGCCATGATGCGCCATATTGGCCCTGAACGCGCGGCGCCGGAGGAGCGGGCGGATCTGCTCATTTGGGAGGCAAAGCGGCCCGTGTCGCGCCCCAGTGCGGTGAGCGCCGCTCGGAGGTGTGACCTGGGACGTCGCCACGGCACGGCACGGCACGGCACGACACGACACGACACGACACGACACGACACGACACGACACGGCACGATACGGCACGGCACGGCACGGCACGACGCGACACGACACGACACGACACGACACGACACGATACGGCACGGCACGGCACGGCACGGCACGGCACGGCACGGCACGGCACGACACGACACGACACGACACGACACGGCACGGCACGGCACGGCACGACACGGCACGACACGATGCGGCACGGCACGGCACGGCACGGCAGCGCCGCCGCTCACTGCTCGTCTCTGTGCGTGATCGGTGATTCTCCGAGATCTTGGGTTAATTTTCGAGCACGCGGGACGCCAGCCAGTCCGCCCTGACCTTTGAACTTGAGACCGGGGGCGCTATTTTGTGTGACGGCTGGTGTTTGGTGAGTGCTGTCTGAGCTCCGGACGGCGCCTCACTGCGGTTCTCCGTCAGCTGCATGCGATAGCGTGTTGAACAAAGCCCTGCGGGGAATAACAGTTACAGCTGCCGCGAGGCACGGCTATTTACAGCAGTCATAACTCAGTGGGCAGCAGTGCCAGCTCGTCAGCCTGCTGTACCGGCCGTTTTTGTGTGCCAAGTCCGCACCGGCCGCCGGCAAGCGGTCCCGATGAGTGGCGGTCGTGCCGCACGGCCCATGTAATGCATGTGGGAACGAGGGAGGTCCGGAGCGGGCAGCGCCTCTGTGGGCCGTGTCATTATGTCGGGATTAGTCTGCGGGTCTGCTCGGTCACGTGCAGAGCTGACTGCCACCTGCGTCGCGTCACGCGCCTCGCCCCGCTCCCGATCCCGGCGCGCTGATTACGCACCCGGCGCATTGTGTCCGTCTGGCGCCACATACAGACGGCTTTTCACCGTGCTCGCGACCCGCCATTGATAGCCAGCCACCGTAAATTTCCCATTAGCTGACATTCATTCGTGCATAAATTCGCAGACTCATGCTATCTACTAGCTACGGGCAATCTCATGCGTTGTGCTCCAGCTATTGCGCCTAAAATCGGGGCATTTTGCAAGGGGTGTCATTGTCGCTTGCCCAAACATGTCGCATGGTTGGCAGCGCGGCAATATATTTCGGGCTTAGGCTGGTCTTATTGAAATGTACGGAGAACTTTCGTCCACCTGCTGTAGGGACGAAATGGATGGGCACAAGCGGGCGGAGCAAATCAGTGCTCACGGCAAACAAAACTGAGGGAAACACGGCGTTCATCCCTCCCCTCCGCGTAAACTGGCTGGTCGGTGCGCCCAGATGGAATAAATTGTGACGGATTGTAACCGGATGAAGACGAATGGGCGCGGGCAGGGGAAGGGTGCGCCAGCCCCCTGAGACCCGTCCGCTACGTCCTGTCTCAAGTGCCCTTGTGTGAGGGATGGCGTGATGGCGTCAGCGGTCCGTGCGCAAGGGGCGCGCGGCGCTGGCTCCAAGCCGACGATCGGTCGCCGCGCCGGCGGGCCACTGCCAGTGCGCTGCACCAGCGGCGTCCCGACGGCTGCGGCTCGGCGGATGGCCGAGCCGTGCTGAGGCGGCACCGGATGGCCAGCGGGCGGCCCTGTTACAATCAGGTCACGCCGCCGACGGAGCGACCCGGCGTGCCGCGGCCGCCGCACGTGATGGTCGTTGCCGGCGCCGCCGGCCGACAGGCCTGCGTGCGACTCGGTCCGAACGGCCGGTACGTTGTGTGCCGGCTCAATAGCAGGATGTGCTCTGCACGCTGGGGTCGTCCGGCTCCGGGCGAGCCGAGTTGGCCGGCGTCACGAGCAGGAGTCAGGCGTCAGCACGGACGAGGTCACCGGGTCACGGGCTGGGACCGGGCTCATTGTCTTCTGGCCTGCTGCCGGAGCGGTGCTCGGCGGCGGCACCGGAGGTCAGTCTGGTACAGCGCCGGCTGCGTCGGAGCGCAGCTGAGTGCGTCGCTAAGTCCCAATGACGTCAGGGTGCACCGTATGCCCTGGTGACCGTGGACGACAGTGACTGGCGGACAAGCCGGGCTATGATTCAGCACTGCTTAGCCTATTAAACGATCTGACCAGCATAACGCGCCGACGGAATGGTACCTCCATCCTGCGGCGCCATGCAGAGCCGCGAGCGTGGCCTCCTTGTGCGGCGCCGGCCGCTGTCGGAGGGTCATCACTCCGTCAGCCCGGCGGCGCCGGTGTGCGCAGCGCCGTCTCCCGCGCCCCGCCCCGCCCCGTCGGTGCCGACGCGCCGCCGAGCTCCCTGTCCCGCCGCTAAACGCACTGTGCGTCCGGCCGGCCGCTCTACACGTGCTTCTCACGCCAATGCAGCACCGTGGCGCGCTGGCCGCCGATGACTGTGCGTGTGCTCGAGCCGGCGCCCACGCGCCCTGAGCCTGCCGGATGGCGCGTTGGCTCCACCGAGGGCTCGCCAGGCTGTCCCAACGCACTTCGGCCGCCGCTGTGACGGCCTGCATGCTGTCCTCGTGGTCACCTCTGGTGTTTGTCGATATCTGGACGAGGCCCGCCTGAACAGCTTGTCGATATCTGGACGAGGCCCGCCTGAACAGCCGCGCCCGCCGGTGGAGGGTCGGAAGGCCAAGGCGACGCTCAGAAGTCGGGGAGGGGCGCCTCCTCCAAGGCCGCGCCGCTGCTGGCAGCCCGTAAGGCGCAGAGCACGGCGCTGGGCGGCGGCTCCCCGCCGTCAGGCGGGCGTGGGTTGGCGCCGAGGCGTTCGACGTCGCTCAATGGATGTTTTAAGCTGACGGCCGAAGACAGCCGCCACGCCGACGAAAAGCCGGCGATCTCCATAGAAATGGCCGCGACCTCGCTGGGCGTCCGGGTCACGGACAGTGGAGGGTGATCTCATGAAGATGCCCCGCTCTCCTGTCGAATGGCCACAATGCGTTACTCGTCTGTGAGATACTTTCATCTCACAAACACCTACGTCTGGTTTCGTGTTCGTTAATAGCTCGATCTCAGAAGTGGAGTGAGGCGCGGACAGCGGCGCGGGCCGGACGGTGGAGTCTGTCACCGGTGCTGGCCGGACGGTGGAGTCTGTCACCGGCGCTGGCCGGACGGTGGAGTCTGTCACCGGCGTGGGCCGGACGGTGGAGTCTGTCACCGGCGCTGGCTGGACGGTGGAGTCTGTCACCGGCGCTGGCCGGACGGTGGAGTCTGTCACCGGCGTGGGCCGGACGGCCGAGTCTGTCACCGGCGCGGGCCGGACGACCGAGTTCGTCACCGGCGCGAGCCGGACGCGCTGCGAGCGTTTCGTTCGCTGATTGCACCTCGAAGCGGCGCGATCCCAAACTTGATGAGGTCGTTAGTGTACCGCCTTTGATGTGGGCGCCGGGCGATGGGGGCGGCCGGCTGCTGCGTGCAGCGTCGACGGTCTGGACTGACCGGCCCGCCAGCCAGCGGCGTCGTGCTGCCGATGGTGCGTGTCGGACGCGGCACCGGCGGAACGGCCCACGTCCGGCCGTCAGGTCGGCCAGAGGTCAGCCGGCCCGGCCGGGCCGGGGCCTGAGACGGCACCAAGAGGACTCGCCCTGGTCCGGAGACGGACCGAGAGCGGCGCCGTCGCCGTGCCGGCGCCTAATTCGAGCCATTGTCGCTGAGCGCGGGCGGGATTGTGTGTGGCGCTGTTGTGACACGGCGGCCTGGGATCAGTCGAGCGGTGAAAGGAGACGCGTCGCGTGCAACGCCGTCGGCAGCCGCCCTCTCTCCGGCGATTGAGTCGTGTCGCAAGACGCGTGTCGGAAGCCTTTGTGTGGCGGATCTGGCAATGCGGGCCGGCGGTTCGGCTGCGCCGGAAGTGTGAAGACCGCGGACGTCCATGCGGAACGCTGGTGACCGGCTGAAATTGGGTGAGACTTTACCTGGTGTGTTCCGGAGCGATCCTATTGGCTGACGACCGTCACGTGTTATCGACCCCTGGTGGCGCCACGTATCCTGATGGGGCACACACGCCCTTCCCTCCCCTCCGGCGTTTTAAAGCCCGCGCACACGTCCCCGGAGATAATTGTCGGGAAAATAGAGGTGATTGAACTGGCGGGCGTACGGAGCGGTCCGCATTCGTGATAATAACTAGCTTCATGAGCGTTGGGCTTTTTAATACGATGACATATCCCTCCGGCATGAAAATCGATTTGTAGTGTGCACGTGCACCCCCCCCCCCCCCCTGTAACGGTACTGGCTGAACTGGAGCGTGGCTCTCGTGACTCGTGTCCGGCCCCCGCCCCGCCAGGCCGGCCCTGATAGCCCCCCGCCCCCCCCCCCGGCCACGCACATACACACACATACACGCATACACCCTGCGAGCTGGCGGCGCAGCTGATGATTTCATCACTCTCCCTCGGTAGCCGCTGGTGACGTCACTCTTTCTTGGGGAGCCGCTGGTGAGGTCACTTTTCCTTGGGAACCATTGGTGACATCGCTCTCGCTTGTGAAGCCGCTAGTGACGTCACCCTCATTTGGGAATCACTGGTGACGTTACTCTTCCTTCAGAGGATCGACTGGTGAGGACGCCACTCTTCCTCGGAGGAGCCGGTGACACCGTGTGCTTCATCAGCGTGTCGCTGACGGCATCCCCTGCTCGGATGAGCCGCTGTCGGACCCACTCTACCCTGGCGGGGCAGAGCGGGTCCGCAGCTGATTAGTGAGAGCGGGCAGGGGGGGGGGGGAGGATCTCGCCGTTCATGGGCGGATGGCCGCGTGTGCGGGGCTTCTGGAATGGAATGGGATCGCTGACGGCTGGATATTAGACCCTGGCGGCCGGACGACCCGGCCACCCCTGCTGCGGTGACGGCGCCACCCCAGCTCAGGCGCGGCCGGACGACCCGGCTACCCCTGCCGCGGCGACGGCGCCACCCCAGCTCAGGCGCGGCCGGACGACCCGGCCACCCCTGCTGCGGTGACCGCGCCGGCCCAGCTCAGGCGCGGCCGGACGACCCGGCCACCCCTGCCGCGGTGACGGCGCCGGCCCAGCTCAGGCGCGGCCGGACGACCCGGCCACCCCTGCTGCGGTGACCGCGCCGGCCCAGCTCAGGCGCGGCCGGACGACCCGGCCACCCCTGCCGCGGTGACGGCGCCAGCCCAGCTCAGGCGCCGACACAGGCGCTCTTCAGCTGCCCCGCGCCGGCTGCGTTCAGCGGAGCATGCGGGTTAGGTTAGGCTAGGTTAGGTTGGTTGGATCAGTATGCTCCTGTGGCCCGCACGAATATTTGAAAATGCGTGCGTAGGTTGTGAGGTTCAGATCTAGCTGAAGTGATGGATACAAAATTAAGCAGCTCACAAATGATAGGACTGACAAAAGGCTCTCAGCACTGTGATACATTAGGGGAAATGTTTGAGCTATGCATTGACCCGAAAGGAAAAATCCCCAGGCCCCGTCCTTGAAAATCATATGATTCGCCAACATGACACTAATGTGATGGCACTTGACAGCGGTCTTCCTCTTTGACCTGATATACCTTTATTCTGTAACCCAATTGATAATTTGCGCAGAGGTGTCCAGGAAGTGTTCTTTCCACCACGGACGTTTCGGGCGCCGGGTGCGACTGCACGGCGGCGCGGCAGCGGTGCGTTCTTGTCGTCTCCCCGTTCTTGTCATCTCTCCGTTTCTCGAGGCTAGTCCACAAGTTAAAATCGTGCGCTTCGCTATCCCTTGTTTACTTAATGTGGTGAACGTTGGCATATTCCGAATATCTGACCACCAATTACGGCATTGGAATGCTCGCCGAGTGGGAATATTTGGTTGTGTACCGGAGTTATCATAATCCAAATGATCAGCCACGGTGGCGATCGCCACGTCGGTTCAGTCGGCCGTCCACCGTGGCCAGAGGCGGCTATTGTTTCATGCGATGGCTGATGTTTGGAATGCCGTCAAATAGCTGGCGCGTAAGGCCTTGCCAATGCCGAGTGGACGTTCGCCCGCCAGCAGGACTCGATGGCCTGACAGCTGTCAAGCTTTGGTGCGACAGAGAAATTGTTCGGACAGATCTTTACGGTCGACGAAATGCGACCGGGTTGTAGCCGTCTGCATCAACAGCGGCGCCCGCTCTGCTGTGACATTTGATAGGTTACATTTCACTTGAGAGTATCAAAGCGTCATGACCATTGGATTGTATATTGCCGTGGGGGGCTGGGTTCGAATCCCGCTAGAGACGTGGCCCCTGAGCGCCAATATGACTGCAGTCGGGGACATTTTATGCAAGGGCACGCGACGACTTGCGTGGCGTTACCTTAAACAACACGTCGTGTCCGGAAAGGTGCCCGGCGCCCCGTTTTAGCGCAAAAGAAAGTGGGGCAGCGTGAGCGCCGTGACCTCTGTGAGATGGCCGCGCGCTAGCGAGGACAGTTGTGTCGGCGGCTGCTTATCGGCGGCTGCTCGCTGCGGCTGTGGCTGCTTCTGTAACGTCGCCAACGCTCGGGACGCTCCATTTTTGCCGGTCGTTTGGGGAAAGGGGGCGATGGCAGGCGGTTTGACTCGCCCCCGGATGTGACCAATCCGCCGGCTCTGCCGCAGTTTCACGCGCCGGTTTGGTGGGGACGTCGCCCCTCCCCCCCCCCCCCCCCCCCCCCCCAGTAGCACGCGTAGTTTGACAGGGGAGCTTCACTACCCTTTCGATGTGAAGGACCCTTCATGTTAACCACCCATTCGGTTTTTGTACGCGGCGCTTGTGAATGGGGCCTGCTCTGGCCAGATGTGGCTGCTCTATATGCGTGTGAGCGTTTCGACTGTTTTTAACGCCACCTGGATGGCACCCGTCGCCACAACAGCGGGCCTGCAGACAGGCTGGCTGCGCTGTTCCGGCGGACGGAACCGTGTGTGGCCGGCCATGGGCAGTAAACACGTCATAAAGTTCGTCGCTCGGTTCAAAACAGAAGCGACGACGGTGGGCGCCTCCGTGACGGATGGCCGCCAAAGCGCTGACCTGATGGCGATGGCATGCCTCGGCCGTAGCGGCTGGGCCAGCACGTGTGGCGTGCGCTGCGTGGCGCGTGAGAACGCCCTGCGCCGCCGGTGGGAAACAGGCGAGCCATGTCCGCCGGCGACAGCTGCTCCGCCACGTCACGTCACGTCACGTCACGTCACGTGGCCGACACCGAGCGCGGACGGTCGGCTGGCTCTTGGTGCGGCCGCTGCGAATTATGCGAGACCGCCCAGCACCCGACGTCGGGGAGGGGAGGGGAGGGGGCGGCGCGTGGAACCGGAGGCAGCCGCAGAGATAGACAGGCAAAGGGGAATCGCCATCCAATCTCTCACACTGGCGAACTGTGCAGCCATGGTCAGGGGTGGTAAGGTGGGCTTGTATTTGTCTGTGATAGTTTTGTTACACGATGCGGTGTCTGTGCCTTCTGAACAATAGTTCCAGGAAAACCTGAGTGGTGAAGTCAGAGAGCCTCAACGGAAGCATCCCATAGCGATGCGTACTGGCGGGTGATGAACCTTTCTGTGCACAGCGGGGCCCTTCCCAGGATGGCTTTCCTATTGACGCGTGTTTGGAATTTTCTGCGCGTTTCTTTCTCCCATATCTCCGTGCCATCACTGAGCTGTTCGAAGGCCACCTCACGTCTTCGACACAATGGCGACGCTTCATTGGTCCAGCTGTCCTTGGGGCGTCGGTGCCACGATTGGGGGCCTTTCTCGCCCCCGAGAATGCGCCGTGCAGTCGGAGATAGTGCCGGAATGTGCCGCAGATCGCGTGTCCGCGGCGCCTCCCGTGGGCAGGCGGCGGCCGCGACCGCTGATGACGTTAGCGATGCCGGGTCGGCTGGCGGAATGTGCTTGTGTGTCGGGGGCCGCCGACAAACGGTGCCCCGTCCCGCCCCCCTCTCCGTCCTGTGACCGGCCCTCGGCTCCCTCCCTTCTCCCGCCTGGTATTCACATGGCGCCGGTGGCTACCGGTGGCCATACTAGAATGACGCCAGAAAATATGGAACAATAGTATCAGCACGGGTCGTTCAGATGTTTCTGGGCGGATGGTCGTGCCGTGCTGCGTCTCAGATGGTTTTCTGTGGCGCGCCTCTGGACCCAGCTCTCCAGAAACGGGGCTCGATGAGACCTCTCCCCTCCTCCGCCACTGTGTGCCCGGCTCCGATCCTACACTGCACGGGACCGGCCCAGCTCGACACGCCGGGTACGCTCCAGTGCGGCGTCTGGAGCGGCCGCACCGGTGAGTCACTGGCCGCGGCTCGGCGCGTTCTTCTGTGGCCGGCGCCAGCGGGACTGCTGTGGTCCGGTTTCAGCGGGACTGCTGTGGCCCGGCGCCAGCGGGACCGTTGTGGTCCGGCGCCAGCGGGACTGCTGTGGTCCGGCTCCAGCGGGACTGCTGTGGCCGGCGCCAGCGGGACTGCTGTGGTCCGGCGCCAGCGGGACCGCTGTGTTCCGGCGGCGGACGCGCGCTCTCCGGCGTCCCGGCTCGCGCGGACCGCGCGCCGGCGTGGCCTGTGGCGGCCGGGGACACGGCCGATGACAAACGACCGCGCCTCGCCGCCGCCTGGCCGGGATGACTATGGCGCCTATTGCGCGGGTGTGTTGCGACGGGCGACCTTGGCGGCCGTCCTCGGACCGGCCGTCGGAGGGACGGCTCGTCGGACAGACGGACCGTCCCTCCTGGCGTTGCGGTGCGGCCGTCGGTGGTCAGTTGATGTGGCATCGAGGCGAGAGGCCGGTGTTCTAACCCAACCGCAATCGAAGGCTGCCGTGGCATTGCGTGACGGCGATGCTCGCGGCGCAGGCTCCTGTCTCTGCGGATGCTTTTCCGTGGTGACGGCGCTTTCAGGGCGTGTCTCGTCATCGGTTCTCGTGCTCCGGGCAGTCGGTACTGTGAGCCGACGCCTGCTCCGCCCCTCGTGGTAACCCGTTGCGCGTGTCGTTGCTATCAACTGACGTGGATCCTCTGCCCCCTGGAGTAACGCGCTACGCGTGTCGGTACTGTAAGCTGACATCTGTGCTCCGCTCCTCAGGGTCACCTGCCGCGCGTGGAGGACGGCTATTCGGCGGACGAGGACGAGCGCGAGCCCCAGAGCAAAGTGCGCCGACTCGGGAGCTGGGACGACCCCGCCTCGGCGCACAGCATCCACTCAGACGCCGGCTCCTTCTTCGAGGTGAGAGGCTCGCTCCCGCCCCGCTGACCACTCCGAGGGCGATCCGTCACCCAGCAGCGCAATACTCTGAAGCCAGAATAACGATGGCTGCCTAATTTTCGTGGCAGCTTGGTCATGAAGATGCTAACGATCTCAACCATTACTCAATTAGCGTTCCTCCAAGATCGACGAACGTTCTGTCTTGGGCAGGCGCTCCTCCAGGAGCTGACGGCTGCCTTGTCTCGTGACAGGCGTCCCTCCAGGAGCTGACGGCCGCCCTGTCTCGTGACAGGTGCTCCTCCGGGAGCTGACGGCCGCCCTGTCTCGTGGCAGGCGCTCCTCCGGGAGCTGAAGGCCGCCCTGTCTCATGACAGGCGCTCCTCCGGGAGCTGACGGCCGGTCTGCTCCGGGGCGCCGCCACTCGATTGTGTAACGCTCAACAGCAGCGTAATCCGTTCGACGGTGCGTGCCACACTCCCAGTTTGGAAACGCCGGGACCGCGTGAGACGTTACCTCGCGGTCACCCCAGGCGAGACGGTCGGCCGGCCGTGACGTTGGCTTCTTTGTGGGCCTTTCATCACTCTCTGGAGGCACTGGGTGGAGACGTCACGTCCTCTGAAGAGCCCAAGCGCTTGTGATGGCCTGGAACTGGCGGGCGCAGCGTGGACCTCTGGGAAGGAAGGGGAGTCCGCTGTCTATCGCAGTAGGGCGCCCAACTGGGGACGAACGGTCTGATTCACTGACTTGATTGATGAGTGCTGGGTGTTCTTAGCGAAGCGGTTAAGGAGGCTGTGAAACGCGGACTACGCCCTCCGCAATGGTTGAATTACCGCTCGGCTGTCGAACAAGTATTCGGAACAAGATAAAGTGCCGTAAACATCCACGGGACTAACTCGTAATTGGCCAAGCGCGTGCGTCAGACCAGTTTGGCCACATTTCCGCTCGCTCTCGCAAGCGCTGCGTTTTAAGGCTGACCTTGATTTCCGAGCTCGCAATACAGAGCCGTGGAAGTCCGGCGACCTTGGCGTGTTCTTGCGGAGCGCTGGTGGCGAGCGCGCCTGAAGTAGTCAGCGCTTCCGGAACGGATCCGGCGGCGGACGGTCGCCCGGGCCCAGCTGTGCGGCGCGCCCCCGATAGGTCACCGCGCGTCGTTATGACGCCTCCGGTCGCCACCAGTTCGCATTCCTTCCACGTCACTGATCAGCAGTGCGGCGGGCGGTGTGACCTCGGCAGCGCGCAACTGGGAAATGCCGCCGATGATGGACCGGTATTCAGTGGCGCGTCACTCATGAGTCGGCGTGCACATGCTTGCCATAACAGATTCAGTGTGTTCTTTGGTCAGGGGCATGTCAGCTGCTGGTGTTGGCAGCCATGCGGCCAGCGAAATCGTAAATAACATTCGTGTTCCGGCGTCTTGGGGAAAATGCACCAGCGGTGATTGGAATCCCTGAAGTGTTTGCAGGTGTTTATGGTAGCATCCGCGAGGGGCGTCGTCACTATCGTGCTGCGCTCAAACCCAAAACACCCGACCTTCCCTGAGTGCTGCGTGTGTTGTCAAAGGTTTGTCCGGTTTACTACTGATCCTAACTCACTGGAGCGCCGCCAGGCGGCAGCACGTGTGCGCGTTGACTCCGTTGTCAGGCGTCTATTGACCAGCCGTGTGCCCGCCGTCTGTCGCGGAGTTGTGCCAGTGGTATGTTACCGGACGACGGCGGCGCCCGCGGAGACACCAGGGCACGCCTCAGGTGGCAGTCTTGTCTCGGCGCGGACCACACCAACCGGTGGAAGCGGCGGCGGGCGGCTGAGTCGAACGACCTGTGCGGCTGTGCGACGGAAACTGACCTGTCCAGCTTCTGGAGGGGAAGCTGACCTGTTCAGCTGCCGGAGGGGAAGCTGACCTGTCTAGCTGTCCGAACAGCCAGGCTTGTGCGGCAGCCGAGCCGTCAGGCGGCTCTGCCGCGGGCCGCTTCACTCAGCACACGGATGCCGGCCCGTCAGCGCCGCCGAGCTGAGGCCGCAGGAGCGGCGTGCGCACCGCTGATGCACGCGACATGTTCGTTTATTTGTGCGTCAGTCAGGCCGCCCGGTACGCTCCACACTCCTCCTGATTGCCGACAGGCGTCAGATGGCCGGCTGGCCGCGGTCTGTCACTGGCTTCTCCGCGCGCTGTCCCCGGCCCGCCCCTGGCGTGTTCTCGGCTTGTTCTGCTCTGTCCGCGCACTGTCCCCGCTGCGGCCCGGCCCCGACTCACCTCGTCCCGTCCCCGCTCTTTCGCGCTGTCCCCGGTTTGCCTCCCTCCTGTCGCAGTGCTGTGCCGTCTCCGCCCTGCCCCTCCTAGTGCCCGGCCGACGTCACGTGCTGCCGACGACAGCGGGCGCCTTGCGTCTCCGATGGCGGGAGTCCATCAGGGGGCGGACGCCGCGTTTTGCGGCGATCTGACGGCAATTAGCTGCGTCAGTTTTTGCGCACCGCTCAAGCGGCGCTGAAGGATGACGGCTGGCGGTGCGTGATGAAGACAGACGTGCCGTCCCGGCGCGCCGCGCCGCGTGGTCCTGACGGACTGGCGGTGACGCCGCCGCCGGAGCACGCTGCCCGTAATCCGCCGGTCTGCGACTCATCACCGGCCGCACCTGTCCGCACACGTGGCGGCGGCGGCCGGCCGGGCGCGCACTTGCCGCGGCGGCGCGCCCGGCCGCCGGCGAGCGCGCGCGACGACTGTGACGCCAGCCTGTCGCTGTTGCAGGACGACTACCTGCCGAGCATCAGCGGCATGAAGGTGCTGCAGGCGAGCAACGGCAGCGGCCCGACGACGCCGGCTAAGCGCGTGGAGAGGGAGGTGCTCGACATCGGCTACTCGTCCGAGAACTCAGGCCAGTCGAGCGACTCGAGCGAGGCGGCCGACGTCTCGCCGGGCGCCGAGTCGACCGCCAGCGCGCCCGGCCGCCTCGCCAGCGGCGTGCGCCGCGCCGCCGTCAACGCCTCCAACGTCCGCTGTGAGGTCATCAACGCCGACCTGAACGGCAACGGCTCCGACGCGCCGGCGGCGTCAGATGGTCGCCATGGCGACGCGCCGGCGCCGGCGCCAGGTGGCAGTGGCGGCGCTGGCGGCGTGCCAGGCGGGCGAGCGGACGGCGCCGAGCCGTTCAGTGTCTCGCAGCGGCCGGCGGAGAACTGCGGCACCTTCTACTTCCGACACAGCGACACCGAGTCGGAGGGAGCGCGGCGACGGCTGCGGTACGAGCCTGCCAGCTCGGACCTGGAGTACGCCAGCCCGGCCTGGCCCGACACAGACTCCGACTGGCTCAACAACTCGGGCCTGGACGACAGCGAGCTGGAGCAGATCGGCTTCGCCACGGCGCAGGAGCTGCTCTCCGAGCTGGGCGAGCACGAGGAGGACGCGGGCGGCGGCGCGGCGGCCGAGCCGGGCCCGCCGGCCACGCGGCCGCCGGCGCCGCCCTGCGACAGCGAGATCCACCGACTGGTGGAGCGGGCCGAGAGTCTGGTGCGCGCCGACCTGCGCCGCAGCCTGCCGCCGCTCGAGCTCCACCGCCAGGTCAAGGCCAAGGGGCGCCGCGTGCGCGAGTGGCTGAGGCGTCAGCACGGCAGGAGGCCCTGCGAGCCGGCCGCCGCCGCCGCACCCCCGGATGTCAGTGGTCAGGTAGGTGGTCGGCAGTGTGGGGGGGGGGGGGGGGGGGGAGGGAGGGGGCGCTGACCTGTGGACCCGGGGCTCCTGTCGGGGGTGGGGGCTCGCTGAGACCGGCCTCGGCTGTGATGCCCACTCAGCGCTGTCGCGTCGCCTCTCAGACGACGCCAACATGTCGCCCTGCCCGGCCGACGACAGGCGTTTTGTTCGGCCGGCGGCGGTCGCGCGGTGCGTACACCTGGTCTGGCGGCCCCGCCGGCCGGCGTTATTGCACGAGGCGGTGTTTACCGTCTGGGTAATGACGGCTGTCGTGGGCTCAGTCCGAGTCGCGTACCGCTCGCTCCGATGGCGGCCAACAGGCGTGCGATACAACGGGGCGGCGTATCCGGCCGTCCTCTGGAGGCCCGTGTCCGTGTGGGGCGGGGACGGCTCGGGCGCGCCCGGTCGGCCGCGCGGAACCGTCGCCGCTCACCTGCCGCCAGCCGCCGCTCGGCGCTTACGACGGAGGGCTGGCTGGACGGCTCTTACAGAAGGCTAACATAATAGAGACTCTTTCGAATTGTCCGTTATGGCAAGGCTTACGTTCAGAATACCCATTTGATCTAGGTGTTTGCTGAGAAGACCTAGCTGACCATGGCGTTCGTTCAGAAGACCAAATAAAGTCATGTCGGTATTCAGATTGCCTTCATCACGATTTGTCTTTCAAAGGTATACTTGATTATGTCATATGTCCGTTAGGAACACATGGCCTTAGTTTGTGTTTAGGTAGGCCATTTGATTATTACTTGTGTTCAGAGGTGTACTTGTTCATCGTCTGCGTTCGGAAGACCTAATGCAGCAAAGCTTGCGTTTCGAAGACCCATTTGGTTGTGTCTAGAGGAAGCAGACCTGAGCACATGATCAGGCAGACCTCCAAAGCAAGCAACCTGATCATGTATGCCTTTTTAATGTAAGGGATCAAGTACGTCCTCAGAGCATAAGCGGTGGCACGTAATGCCTTCAGAACATAATTGATATTGTAATCATGATAGAATTAGCACATTCCGCGATCGTCAGGGCACCCTGAACGTAAACATCGCTGAAGAGGAGGTTCTGAGCAAAAGCTTCTGTGAGCATGGTTTACAAACAGGCCTCCTGAACGCAGACTTTCTGAACATCAGCGCTCTCATATAGGCCTAAAACAGGCATTGTAAGCGTCTGTATCTTCAAAATAGTCTTCTTGAAACCAGGTCGTCCACAAATGGGCGTTATGAGAATAAGGCTTGTGCACGTTAGGCTTCTGAGAAAGCACATTCTAAACCTTGACCTTGTAAAACTTGGCCTTCTAAAGGTCTATCCTTAACATCGGTCGGTCTTTTGAGAATGAGTATCATAGACGTATGCCTTCTGAAAAGGTTTCCTGAAAAAGTCCTTCCAAAAATGCCTCTGTGGTACGCCGCGGACAGGAGCGACTAGTGCTGGCGCTGGCTCGAACGGGCGGATGCCGTGTCTGCGGCCGCCAGGAGGGGGGGGGGGGGGGGCGGGGGTGGGGGGAGGTAGCGGCCACGCCCCTGCCGGCGCCGCTCCGGCGGTGGCGTGTTGTGACCGCGACCCGTCACCATCGCCAGTATGACGGTGGCCTGACAGAGTTGGGGTGCTTGATTTGGTGGGCCTACACGTGATCATGGCCTGCACCGGCTGTCCGCCGCGTCCGCCTGAACGGGCCACACCAACGCTGGTGCTTATACGCCTATCAGTAACTTTGCCAGTATCTCTGGTAGTCCCTGTCCAGTTTCCCTGGTGGCCCTTGTCGTCAGGAGTATGGCCTGGTGTCCCGTCCGTTTGAACAGGGCCAATAATTGTCCTGCCAGATTGGAGGGGGGGGGGGGGGGCGTAGCCATTTTTGATCCAGCCAATGTCAATCAGGCTAATTCTTAATTTTCAGGAAGTTGAGGGGCTCAGCGCCTCTGCGTTCTGATTTTTGCGCTACCGCGTTCAGTTGACGTCACGCTCCAAGCCATCCCTGATGTCAGTACCCATGACAAGGAATGAGGGTGGCCGCCGGCCTGTGCAGCCAGCAGACAAATATAGCGCGCTATCGAGCTCCGCTATCGAGCGCTGACACGGCGCGTGGCTGTTGGTATTGATCCGTTCCTGAACCGCTCCGGCTGTGGTCCGCTCCGGAACCGCTCCGGCTGTGGTCCGCTCCGGAACCGCTCCCGCCGTAGTTCACTCCTGAACCGCTTCGGCCGGGATCTGATCCCAAACCGCTCGTGAACCGCTCCTGAACCGCTTCTGAGCCGCTCCTGAACCGCTCCGGCTGCCTCGACAGACTGGCTGTCGTCGCACTATTTTGCCTCCGCTGTCTTCTTGATCAACAGTCAGACGACCGCGACAGTCACCTACTGGTGTGAGATCAATTCCACGTGCACCCACCAGCGAGCACGTGTTTATCCACGCGTGTGATGTCTCACCTCCCCTTCCTTTCTTTTCCCTTCCTCTCCCCTCGCTGCGTTCCTCGCAGCGCGTGCGACCCCGCCTGGGACCGGCAGGTCCGCCGAGGTGCGCCGTCGGCTGTCGGCTGTCGGCGCGGGCTGAGACGCGCCACCACCGTCGAGGTTCGGTAAATATTATGTCAGCCCGCGACGCAGACGTGACGGATAGTGTCGACCCTGGCACCTGGCGAACTAGTCCGGGGCGGCGTGCTACTGGCACTGGGTCATAAGCCATTATGACACTAGCCAGTGAATTAATAGCAGACACTATAGCTGACCCATTGCCATGATGATGACCCAAAGCCATTAAAAAGATTTATTGCGTAGCTCATTATATCTGATCATCCTTGGTAACAGCAAGAAAGCCCTAGAGCTCCTAGTTGTTCTTTTTTGCCTTATCCGGACGGATGCTGAAAGTAACCGACATTAAATATACTAGGGTTTACTGGTTAAACAACGAAATCAAGCAATCACAAGGATATCTTATTCGAATGTGCATATCATGTTCCAATGGTTGGATCCTAATGCATGATTAAAATACTTGAGATGATCTTAATTAATTATTATGAGAATTATCGATGCTAAAAATATAGCTCATTAGGAAAATAGGGTATTCGCATAATTAGGTATCCTGCTAACTGCCTGATACCGTTCTTCAACCATTATCTGCTGTTCAAGTGATGGTAAGTCAAGAACTAATAACTACACCTGTTGATCACAGTGTAGTTGCGTGTCTTTCGTGCCCGCCGACGGGCGGCTACGTGGCCGGGCGGGCCGACCGGATGGCGCGTGGCGCCGCCGCCCATCTCCCGTGGCGAGCGGAATTCCTGTCGCGTTTTTGCCGGTGGCGTGCTGTCTGAATCAGAGCCGCCTCGCCCCCCACCGCCGAGGGAGCGCGGCGGCGGCGCGTACGCCGCGTCGGCGGGAGGTGGCCTCTGCCGGGCCTCCCGAGCGGCTCGGTTACCCCAGCCCGCTGCGGCCAGCCGAGCCGGGTCAGAGTTACGCGGGCCGTGACCGGGCGGCGGCGTGCGTCTGCCTGGCGCGGGGTCGCCGCGTCGCGCCGTCCCGTTACGCGGTCGCACGCGGCCGGGCCCGCCTCGGGCGGCGCCGGTGCGTTCAGACGCGACTGACGGCCGCCCCCGGTCGCCGCCAGGTGATGTCGCCGGCGGCGCCTCTGACTCACGCCGCGTGCGCCGCCCGGCACCGCGCCGCACCCGGCGTGTGTTTATACGCGCGCGCTTTTTGCCCGGAGCCTGCGTGGTCTGCACGAGCCACACCTGTGATGGTTTAGCGGGCGCTGTACTTTGCTGTTGTATTGGTATGGGGCAGGGGCAGCTGGAGGAGCTGGCTGTGTTTGGCCAAGGCTTACCAGCCGCACAGACCCGCACAGTCCTACTAGCCGCGCGGCGCGGCACAATGGGGCAGTCCAGTCGCCTACCCAGCCAACGTTGACGCGTTGTCAGGCGTAACAGCGTGTGGCGTGCGGTGCAAGTTGCCGGCCTCCACATCCGGCCGTCGATCCTCCGCCATGGCCACCGTTCGGCTCACGGTTTGAGGGTCACCGGTTCCCTGCCAAGCGTGGCTCGGAGAAGGCCAACGCCTATTGTTTGTCACATACAGCGTCCCCGTTGTCCAGACGGACACCTGTTGGACAGACTGTCTGCCTGTGCGGCAGTGTGCCGCCGACCCATCTCACTGGATCACTGTCACCGGCTGCGTCGACGCGTGTGTCGGCGAGTGGCCTGTGCGGCAGTGTTTCCCAGACGGTCCCCCCTCCCCCTTCTGTGGCGGCGGCCGGCGTGGCGCCGTCGGCGGTGCCGGTCCGCCCTCGCCCGCCGCCGCCGGCCTGATTGACAGCCGGCCGGCCGGCCGGCCGCCTGGACCCTGGACACCAAGGCCGTCCAGGCGCGCCACGTTATGTGCAGCTACTGGCATATAGGCGTTTCAGGCCTGGAAAGTGGCCCGCTCGCTGGACGAGGGGAGCGGCGGACGGTGGCGTGCCCCGCCCGCCGTGTGCCGCGCCTCCGGCCGGGTCATAAACACCGCAGCGGGCCGCGGGCCGGCCCCTCGCGCCGCCCCCGCCCGGTCGGCGCGACACGTGCCCCGAGCGGCCGACCGGCGACTTGAACGGACGTCACGCCTGCGAACGCTCGGCTGGAAATCGAGTCGACGTCGGCGCCGTTGGGTCGCGACGCCGACTGCAGTGCCGGGCGGGCCGGCTGACCTGATGACGGGAGCCTACCGTTGGGAGGGATGATAGCCTGCCCAGCCGTCGGGCAGCCGGTTGCACGGCGCTATCGTGCAGCGGCTGATGTGTGGCGCGCTCGGTGGCTCGTCGCCCGGCGCTGACAGGTGGCTGGCAGAGGGCCGCGCGTCGGGCGTGACCGATCGGCGGCGTTCCGTGCCGCCACGGCTGGCGGCTGTGAGCGCCGGTAAACGCCGTGTGTCGCGCGGCTGATTCGATCGAGCGGCGCCGGTCCTGGCCGTCGTCTCCTATGTAGACCGGCTGCGGTGATGGACAGTCCGGCCGGTGACCGTGCGCGCGCTGCCCACTTCAGGCCGCTCCATCGGCCATCACCGTGCGGGCCTGCTGCGGTCGAGGGTCCTGTCGTGGCTCACGCCGCCCATCGCGTGCCCGCGACACGACGCCGGCCTTCCCTCTCGAGCGGCCAGGCTCCGCTTCCTGTCGGCGGCCCCCGCTATCTGCTCTGGAACTTCCGCGCCTGCACGGCTCTCAGAAGCAGGCCACCGCGGCGTGCCCCGCAGTGTCGCCCGCGGGCTGGGCCGGGAGTGCAGCACTTACCAGGCGTGTGAAACGGATCCGTCCTCCAGGGGTGTCACCTTGAAACGAGTCCAACGAACACAAACCGAACGAGTTGTGAATGGGGGTCGCCGGCTAACGCATCAAACATGATGACCGATGAGAAATGCAGGGCGTCGACCGCCGCAGTCATGTTGTCGGATTCATATGGGCAGTCCCCGGCTCACACCCCTCCACTGTGTCGCTTCGCGGGTCATAAACCCACCTGGCGCCACTTGTCCCCGCCCGCTGCCCCGGTCACACCGACAATGCCTTGGTCCCACGAGCTGCATGGCCGGTGGGTGCTAGTCTTCTCTCTGGTAGTTCTGTGCCAGGGACCGCGGTAACCATTGCATGGCCGTGTGTGCAGGCGCCTACCTCAGTACATGAACATTGAACTGGGACTCCGTCCCCACCAAACAAAATTCAGCGGGAGCCGAGCTTCGAGTCCCGGCTCGTGACTCTGTGGCGGCATCTGACGGGCCGTGCCTGGCTGACTGTGACGGGCAGCGCCTGGCTGAGTGTGGCTGTGACGGGCCGTGCCTGGCAGAGTGTGACTGTGACGGGCCGCGCCTGGCTGAGTGTGACTGTGACGGGCCGTGCCTGGCTGAGTGTGACTGTGACGGGCCGTGCCTGGCTGAGTGTGACTGCGACGGGCCGCGCCTCGCTGAGTGTGACTGTGACGGGCCGCGCCTCGCTGAGTGTGACTGTGACGGGCCGTGCCTGGCTGAGTGTGACTGTGACGGGCCGCGCCTGGCTGCGTGTGACTGTGACGGGCCGTGCCTGGCTGAGTGTGACTGTGACGGGCCGTGCCTGGCTGAGTGTGACTGTGACGGGCCGTGCCTGGCTGAGTGTGACTGTGACGGGCCGCGCCTCGCTGAGTGTGACTGTGACGGGCCGTGCCTGGCTGAGTGTGACTGTGACGGGCCGCGCCTCGCTGAGTGTGACTGTGACGGACCGCGCCTCGCTGAGTGGGACTGTGACGGGCCGTGCCTGGCTGAGTGTGACTGTGACGGGCCGCGCCTCGCTGAGTGTGACTGTGACGGGTGACCTGACGCCGCCAGGTGACGGACAGCAGCTGTGACGCCAGCGGTGAGTACACCACCGGCGAGTCGGACGCCGAGACGGCCTCGTCGGCCTCTGAGGACCTCACCTGCAGCATGGTCACATGCCACGAGCTGGCCACGCCCACCAACGCACCTGCCCCTGGCGGCAGTCCGGACGGCGCCACGCCCAAGGTGAGCAGGGGCCCCGGTCAGCGGGCCTGGCAGCCGGCGGCGCACAGTGGAACTCGGGTCCGTTCTTGTGGCTGAAACGAAACCGGAAAGGATAGTGTTTCAGATCTTTCGCAGTTCATAAGCACCTGCCTCTGATATATCCTTGCATTGTAATAGCTTAAACTGTCTGAAGTGGTTGTATATCCCAGTGCTGGACGATTTTGTGGGCGGTTTTCATCACGGGGAGACGGTTGACCAAGTTGAGTATCGCCGCTGCCGGTGATGGGTTTGATCGTGTTCTCAGCGGCCGCGTGTAGTGATGCTTTAAAAAGCCGTCGAAAGAGAGCCGGCTCAGTCGAGTCTGCTCCCGCCGCACCCGTCTCGTCTGGGATAACGCTCTCGCGGGGACCCGCTGGCGCCGGCGGACGCCTGAGGTCGGGGTCGGTGGTGACACAGGCGGCCTGTCCCCACCAGGTGGTGCTGCGCAGCAAGAAGCGCCGCTCGGGCGAGCGGCCCTGGAGCCTGCACGGCCTGACGTCTGCCGGCCGGCCGCGCGCCGCGCCGCTTTCCGTCTCCGAGACGGCGCTCAACGAGATGGTGACGCCGACCGCCGAGAAGGGCGTCACCTCCAGGTGCGCAGTACCCTACCCTCCTCTCCTCGGCCGCCACCGTGCTGCTGCCGCCCGCTCTGCTCAGTAGTCGTAGCCGGGCATCAGCGCCTGCCGTTAGCTTCTCCGTGATCTGAGACTGACACTTCTTTACTTGTGAGCTACGGAAAACATCCGGCCGTCGTCTGGTTCCGCTGCGACCGGATTCCGGGCTTCACATCCCTCGCGCTCGATCTGCGGTTCACGGGGCCCCTTTGGTCGGGTGTGCCCAATCACCTGTCTGTTGCCGGGGCTGTATGGTGCTGCCATCGCTTCCCGTTCCAATAGCGTGTGTCGGCGCTCCTCTGCCGCGCCCGGTCGTCGTGCACCAGCGGCGGGCCGCGTCTGGGCCGCGTCTGTCGGCCTCGCTCAGTCTCCTGAAGTGTGGAGCGGTCGGCCGGCGGGCAGCGCGTGCTGTGTACACAGCGGGCGACATGTGGCGAGCGTCCCGTCCGCCGCCTGTTTGTGTGTTGAGGGCGCCAGCTGTGATTGCCTGTCAGGCGGCGCCGGGCGCGGCCGCTGCCGGCTGCGGCTGTGTCGTGCGCGCGCGCCCCCACCCCCACCCCTCGCTCCTCCCCCTTCCCCCCCCCCCCCCCCACCGCTCGGGCGTCCCGGACGTCAGCGCTGTGCCCGGCTCTGCGTATCGGTACCAGCCACGTGAGTTGTGTGAATGTGACCGTCTGTGGCCGGCCATCCCTGCTGCTGAGCCGCGTTTGCTCCGTTCCTGGTGTGCTCCGATCGCCGCGCGCGCGGATTTGCCACAAGGCTGGAATCGCTCTGCCGGTTGATCCAGTGCTCTGACTAGGTTCTGCGTCTGATATTTGTGCCGGCTGCTTTGACGCTCTGTCAGCTGATCAGACGCCTCGGCTGCTGATCTGACGCCCTGCCGGCTGATCTGACGCCCTGCCGGATAGTCTGACGCCCCTGTCGGCTGATCTGACGCCTGTGTGTCGACAGCTCGAGCAACACCACCGTGTCGGCCGGCGCCATCCCCAGAGGCTACCGAGCTCGGTGTCGTTCGACTCGCCGTTCTGGTCGGGCCGGCGCCGCTCGCGGCCGCTGCGTCCGACGGCGGCGCACAGCTCGGGCAGCGAGGCCGGCGGTTGCGGCCGGCTCGCCCGTGCAACGGCGCCGGCGCAGCCTCCGCTCCTCCGGCAGTGACGGCGAGCGCGGCCGGAACGGCGCCACCCTGCCCGCCGCCGGTCAGTACCGCCGCCGGCCAAGCCTCGGCAGCAGTGGCGAGATGGCGTCGGCCGTCGGCGCGCCAGCACCCCCTGCCTTTTACTGCCGGGAGTTAAAGTCTGTCAGCTCACGATGCATCTGCATTCATCTCTGTATTTATGCTTGACTGTGTGGTCTCTGTGTATCAGAACCATATCGTACGTAGTTATAAATCTAACTAATCTTTTCTAATGTGTCACACACTCCTTTTCGCTTTGTGTTCGACCTGTCGTTCCGTCAGAGTTCCAAGGCATAGGATATCATGTCTGTGGGGTAATGCTCCAAGGCAACGCATATCATGTGTTGTTTATGCTTGACTGTGTGGTCTCTGTGTATCAGAACCATATCGTACGTAGTTATAAATCTAACTAATCTTTTCTAATGTGTCACACACTCCTTTTCGCTTTGTGTTCGACCTGTCGTTCCGTCAGAGTTCCAAGGCATAGGATATCATGTCTGTGGGGTAATGCTCCAAGGCAACGCATATCATGCGTTGTTCACTTGTTTGCCGGGGGTGAATACCTCCGGGTGGCGCTGCGGGAGCTCGCAGAGGTATGATGCAGTATCCGTTATGGGAGCGCTATCCGTTTCCCTGAGCGTGCGCTGGCGTGTGCGCCCGTCGCGTCCTTGCGCCATCCGCTGACGGTGGTCTGGCGTCGGCCGACAGAGCTACACCGCAGCTCGCTGCTGTCGTGCGCCACCGAGGCCACCCTGGTGGAGGTGTCGCCGCGCACGGCCTCCGAGGGCTCCTCACCCCGCCACGGCGGCCCGCCGCAGGCCGACGAGGTCGGCTCCTTCTCCGAGCAGGCCTGGGACCCATACCAGGTAGGTGGCGCCACCGGTGCGGTGGAAGTTCGGGTGCCGGGTGGGGCGCACCGGTGGGTATACTTCTGGAGGTCATCTCCGGCATGTTATCAGCAGCGTGGTCCGTTGCATGCCATGCCCGTCGGTGATGCCGATGCCCGTGGCATGGGCCGCCCGTCTGTGATGTTGCCTTGGCTTTCCGACTGCCTGAAAGGCCTGGGGAGATATTATAACACTAGTATCTGATGCGATCCTTGGTGTTGTCATATGCGTCGACCCAGCTGCTCTTCTGTCATTCCTGGCGAACATAATGATGTTTTGTGTAATACACATAGTTGTGTTTAATGCAGCAGGGAAATATTTTTGCATCGAAACACTTTTTTAATGCCTTTCATTTAAACCACAAACATTTCGTAAATTGTATATGGAACACAGACATTGTGTTTCTACGTGCAATGAAGCAGACTCATATTTCGTATCATGCAGAGCTGTACCGTCTCAGTCATGCCCGGGACCGTCAATGAATGCGAGCGGATCACTGCCTCCCGTTTAAGCCACGTCGATTCCTGTTACTGTAACGTCCACACCGTATGGATGGTACCTGAACAAACCGCGGACGTATCTGACCGTCGTCACACACAGCTGGTGTCCTATCTGGCCTGTCAGGCGTGTCCCCGGCGCCTGGGCGTCATACAGTGATCCACATGCTTAGTGTTGGATAAAACGACACGGCATCACACTCACGCGGCGATCGGTTCCCGACGCGCTAGTAGACGACACTTGTCCCTGCCGCCGCCTGGTGGTCAGATGCGCCCGCGCTGTGGTCAGTCCGTTCTGACCCGGTCTGTGGTGGCGGCTGGCCGTCCCCCCGCCGGCTGCGTGACCAGCCCGTGTGGTCGGGCTGGGTCACGGCCGGCACCTCCCGCGGGCCGGTGACCGGCCGGGGCGACCCGCGCCGCGCCGAGCCGATCACTGGGGTTGGCCCTTCTCTCTGCTTGTTCAGTTCAGTTTGGTTATCAGTCCAGTTACATTATCGCGGTTACGTCCCGAAATGTTTTTTTTCGAACCTAAATCAAAGAAATACAAAACTGTATTGGGGGGACAAGCTCGTAATTGCGACACCGCAATCAAGGCACGATGCACAAACCAGCGCAGTGAAGTGCACTGAGCTCAGCTATCACCGGAGCAGACGGTGAATTAAATCTGCCTTGAAGCGTAACACGTGCCTGGTGTTTGCATGGCGACTGGCAGGCGGTTTAACACTTTGGCAGTCTCGTGGCTGAGCCCTCGCTTCCCGACGCTCTTCCGGGCACTGGCTACTTTACGTCGTCCTGTCAAGATTGATGTCCTGTCCTGTTGTAATTATTTTAGATTAGCGAAACGTCAGTCCTCTTCGGGTAAAAGTGTGGGGTGTGCAGGCAGTTGCAAAACGCCTGTGCATCGCGCCCCACGCGGAGAGCAGCCCTTCGGTTTGAGCTGTCGCCCCAGAGCCGACGCACTCCGTGCGTAGTCGCCTCGGCTGACTGTGCGTGCAGTCGCCTCGGCTGACTCTGCGTATAGTCGCCTCGGCTGACTCTGCGTGTAGTCGCCTCCGCCGTGGCGTTTGCGCCTGGCGTCGCGGTGTGGACGTCATGGTCGATCAGCGTCGTCCGGACCCTGCGCTGTGCACACAAACCTTGATTTGAGAGTGGTGTGTATCGTAAACACTTGTGGGTTTCTCAAATACTGGGCGTGAAGGACCGTCAGAGGACTCGACTCGACCTGAGTACTCACTGCACCTGGGCCTTTCTCCTGAGGGCGCCGTAGATTCTCCAATATCCGGGGAGCTCGAGTAAACCGCCGTCGTGCCGTGGTCGCGCCCCGCGCGGCGCCCGCCTCCGGCTGTCGGGCCGCTACGGTTGTCCGTCGCACCAGGTCTTCCTGACCGTAGCTGACTGTCCGGGGCGAGCGCCGCGCCGATCATATCACCGCGTCAGGGCAGGGGCGGGTCCGCAGGGGGGAAGCTGCTTCGGGCCAACCTTCCGAGCAGGACCGGACGGCACCGCGCGTGACCGCTCCCCGCGCTGCGCCACTCCCCGCTGGCACCCCCCGGTAGCGGCGGCCCTGGCTGCGCCCCTGCGCTGGAAACAATCGATGGCGCCGGCGACGCCCCGCCCCCGCCACGCTATTGCGCCGCGTGCTATGCACCAGGGGAGAGATGCGTGCTGTACCGCCGTGCCGCGTCGTACCGTGTCGCGCCGTGTCGTGTCGCGTCGTGCGGCGGGAGCGATGACAGCCGCCGTGCTGGTCCTGCTCAGTCTGTTCCACGTGAGTGCCTTGCGTGCCCGGCGGCCGGGCGCCGCTCCTCCCGCGTCACTGCTGTGGCGTCCGTGTTCGACCGCCTCCGATGGGTCGGTAGGCCGGCCGCCGCCGAGAGTTCGTTAGCTGGCAACCGCGATAAATCAGGAGCGCCGGGCTAAATCTGGAGACGGCTGAAGCGTCGCACGCCCACGTGACGCGACGACTCCGCGCTGCTTCAGTGTGGTGTGGCGGCGGTGGCTGAGGTGGTGAGCTGAGCGGCCGGCTCGTTCAGTGTGGTGTGGCGGCGGTGGCTGAGGTGGTGAGCTGAGCGGCCGGCTCGTTCAGTGTGGTGTGGCGGCGGTGGCTGAGGTGGTAAGTTGAGCGGCCGGCTGCTTCAGTGTGGTGTGGCGGCGGTGGCTGAGGTGGTGAGCTGAGCGGCCGGCTCGTTTTCAGGAGCTGAAGGAGGTAACAGAAGTGGGCTCCGAGGGCTCGGTGGACCGCGACGCCGTGCTGCGCCTGCTCGACTGCGACGACTACCGCAAATACATTGACTCGCATTCGGACTGCGCCTCATCGCAGGTCAGCAGCGCGCGCGGCCCGCCGCGTTCGCCGCTCAAGAGGAGCCGCCGGAAGGTGAGAAAGGCGGGAAAGTGGAGAGAAGGGGCAGATACAGCACACTTCCTGTCGTGGCGGGCGCCAGCGCCGGACTGAGCCTGTCGTGGCAGGCGTCAGCACCGGACTGTGCCTGTCGTGGCAGGCGCCAGTGCCGTACTACGCCTGCCGTGATTGGTGTCAGCGCCGGACTGAGCCTGCCGTGATCGGTGTCAGCGCCGGACTGAGCTTGTCGTGGCAGGCGCCAGCGCCGGACTGAACCTGTCGTGGCAGGCGTCAGCACCGGACTGGGTCTGTCGTGACAGGCGCTACTGCCGCGCTGAGCCTGTTGTGACAGGCGCCAGCGCCGGACTGAACCTGTCGTGGCAGGCGTCAGTGCCGGACTGAACCTGTCGTGGCAGGCGTCAGCGCCGTTTGTCATGTCTGCCACTGAGATGTGTCGTTTTGGATGCATGTTTATCGTATAGCTATTGAACTGGTCATCCTTTCGGGTTTGTCAATAACTTGTTCTGCAACCATTACTGATATGCTCTGTCAGCGGCGCCAGCTCAAGGCATGATGGTTATCATTTAAACAACGCTGCGCTTCTTTATTTCTGTGTTCCAACGCATCATTTCGCCCGTCAAAGGGCTGTTTAGCCCTTGACCAGGATGGTTGTGACAGATGTTGTGGGTCGGCAACCCATCCCCTTAGCTTGACTCCACGTCTGCTTTCAGCCGCGGGCGTTGAGCGACTCCCTGGACAGTGACTCGGACGGTGACGGCGTGCAGGCCATCCTGGCCGAGTCGTGCCGGAACCTGGCCGTGGTGCAGACCGAGCTGGAGCGGCGCGCCGCCGACTCGGACGCCACCTATGTGAGTACCTCACCGCCAGAGGCCAGGCGCCTCGGCCCTGGCGAGGCCCCGGCTTCTCTGTGGAGCAGGCGCGTGTGGTGGCGGAGGCTGGAAACAGCACTGCGGGGCACGGCGACTGTCCCTGGTGACCTCGGATGTTCGCCGCATGCGGGGTGACCGCGCCGCCGCCCTGCGGCTGTAGGGGGGGGGGGGGGGGGCACGCGGGCCGTCGGCCTGCGAGAGGCGTACGCAGCCTCTATGGGTGAGCGGCAGAACGGCTGGGGCAGCCTCTTATGTGGAGAGCGGCTACCGTCGCCGGCCGGCTTCGTACCGGGCTGCTGTCCGAGCACGGCTGCCTGGGTACGAGGCGGCGGGCCCCGCCGGTGGCTGGTGGCGCGGTGTGCCCTGTGGCTTAATCCTGCTATGGAAGCACCACAACGGCCGGGTTGTCCCCATGCAGCTGGCTGACTGTAATTGGCCATAGCCCATGAACGACAGAGTGGGGTTAGAGTGGGCCAGAGACATGTAATGCACTGAATTGTTCTGACGAGTTCAGGTATATTTAGCGCTCCGTGTGCCGGCGGGCGTGGGACCCGGTCGAACCCGTGTACTCATCGCCGGACTCAGTAGAGGGAAGAGGCAGGCCACCTGCACCTTCCAGATGTGACGATGACGATGACTGCTTCGTCGTCGGTCCAGAGGGGGGGGGGGGGGGGGGGAGGGGGCGGCTCGCATGGCACCCCGGGACTGACGACCAATGGCCAGATCAAAGCCTAGCCATCAACCTTCGTATTTGAGGGTCCACATGTTCACACACTCAATTTAACGGGGCGCAAATATTTGCTAGCTGCAACCAGATATTGGCTATCATAGGCTTCACTCCAAATATGGATAACTATGTAAAGATATGCCTTGAACTGGCCACGCGCACCATGGAACCTACCAGGCAGTCTTTGGCTAGATTTAGTTTGATTTTTGGCAGCATTCGATAAGATTCAAAGGTCCAGGAAAGACCGGCCAACCCCGAGTGCCCAGAAACCACTTTGTGTGGTTGAGTAACGATAAATTAGTACTTGAGTTATGTTTTGCCTCCAAAAACATGAAGCGGTGAGAAATAAATGACATGTACCGGAACGTTTCATAAAGGTTGGTCATTGTCCGCTCTGCAAAATGCGCTAAGAAATCTGCTAAAATAAAGCTAACGTTGTAGAGATTAGTTTTTTATAGGCAGAATGCATTGGCCATTATGTCATGACATATATTATGTGGGACATTCCCTTAATATGGTGTGGAACATTCATTTTTTAAACACATTTTGGCATGTGGAACATTCCCTTTAAGCTCACACAGTTATTCAGAATAGGGGTGGTTTTGCTACTCATTCGGATTGGGGCGTCGTCCGTCGACCGTAGACAACCATAATCGTCAAATCATGTCGTGTTTTTACATTATATTGTCTAGAATCCAGAAGATGGTTAGTATCTGGGTCACTGTAATAATTGATTTTACGAATGTGAACCTAGGTGATGATGCTACGCATTTCCGCGATTTATCCATAGTTCATAGTCCTTGGATACCACGTACTACATGTACGCATTATAAATCATCTTGATACCACACTAGCTTTCTTTGTCACGACACTGGCTTATTGCAGATGTGAGAAACAGTATTGTCTGGTTTCCGCGGCTAGATGCCTCTGCCATCGCTTTGCAGTCGCGACGCGACTGCGTGGGCCGCCGGCGGCCGGCCACCGGACGGTGGCGGCCGGCTGGGCGGGCGGTGTGCAGCAGAGCGCTGAAAGGTCACCGTCCGTGGGGCCGCTGCCCACCTGCGACGGCCGCCCCGCCGCCGGTCAGTCGGCCGCCGCAAGAGAGGGGCTCCGCCAGCCGCCTGGCCGCCGCGCGCCCAGTGATAGTGGAGCGCAAGGTGGAGCGGAGCGGGCCGGCTTGTGGCGTGGAGTGCTGCCACAGTGCGGTGCGCGGGTGCCCGGGGCGGCACGTCAGTCGGTGGTGATCCTACACGGGCCAGGTGTGTCGGCGGCCGGCCCGGCTGGTTCCACCGGCCGTGGTAGAAGGCGCGCGCGCGCGTGAAGCGTTCTCTTGTCGGAGCGTGTGAGCGGACGCCACGGTCCTGCCTGCCCCGGCGTCGGTTGGCGCTCTCAATTGGCGCGCTTCCTGTGCAGATCGTGAGTGGTGGTGACCCTCGGGGATGGTGAGGGGTGGAGGGAAGAAGGTGTGGCGGCGCGCGCACCGGCCGGCCGCGCCTCCGCGGGACGCCGGGAGAGCGCTCCGTGCGGCCAGCCGGTGCTCTGCCTGGGCCATCTCTCATCTGGCGCCCCCTGGGAGCTGTGGACACGCTCAGCGGGAGGTCGTCTGCCTCCGCCAAGGCACCCACTGTGCTGTGCGTGTTTGCCGACTGTAGAAGGAAACCGGTTGGGATCCGTGGCCGTTCGTTCCATCGGCTCCGTTCGTTCCATCGGCTTCATGTGGTGTCGGGTCGGGCCGAGCCGTCGGCTGGGCTCGTTTCGTGGAGTGACCTGGCGCTGCTGTGCTGCTGCTGCTGCGCTGTGCTGTAGTAGTAGCATGTCCTTATGGCGCTGTGGCGCTCTGAGAGGACCGCCCGGCCCCTCCCCATTCCGTTTGCGCGCTGGGGCTCCGGCGTGGCGACAGCCGGAACCGCCGCAGGGGTGCCGGCGGCCGGCGCCGACGCCGGCGCCGTGCCGGACGCCGGTGCCGCCGCCGCCGCTGTAAACAGAGCCCGGGGATCGCGTGCGGCGGCCGGCGCGTCACTGTCGCCGCCTTCGCCGCCGGGGCGGAGCGATCCCGGCCGTACGCCGTGCCAGTACTGCCGCTCAGCGCCGTCATCGCGGCTCAGCGGACGGCGAGGATCGGGGGGAGGGGGGGGGGGGGCGAGACTGGCCGCTGTCGTCTGGCCTGGCGTGCCGGTTGATGACTGTACGACGGCGGCGAAACGCTTGATGACTGGGCCGATCGAGGCGGCGCCGAGAAACGTCACGCGAGGCGAGAGCTGTTAGGCGGCGGTGCTCCGTTGGCGGGACGGTCGGGGGCCGGTCCATCGCCTTTGTCACGGGCCGCTTCATCGGCTGCTGGGGGCCGGTCCATGCACGCATTTCTCCATCGGCGGCCGGGGGCCAGTCCGTCACACGTGTCTCGGGCATCTCCATCGGCGGCCGTGGGCCAGTCCATTGAAAGTGTCACGGACCGCTTCATCGACGGCCGGGGAAAGGGCTGATTTGAATTGCAAACTCCATTCAGATCTAGTGGACGTAGTTTCGCCCGCAGCAGGCGTGGATGAATGCCAGCTGTCCCAGGCTGTTCAAAACAACCTGCGTTGCTTGAGGACAGTGTTTAGCGACTTAAGTAATTAGCATTCCTGGGATAATTGAGTACGCATTATTCCGTAATTAACTAATTGTTTTTCATCGTTTCCGCTTTCGATCTATAATGCTCTTGTGCGTGTAAACTTCGTCGGATTGATTTCCACTAATTGCCTTCTAGCGTGCCGAAAATGCGTCAGCCAAGGGTGGAGACCGTCAGCCAAGGGTGCTATAGAGACCAAACGGGCATTGCCGAAGCCCCAAAGCTGGCCGAAGTCAGCGGCAAGCGCCGTCTACCTTTGAATGAGCGCCAAAATCACAAAACTTTTTTTAAAACTCGGAACCTGAAATCAACCGCTAGAGGTGTCGTGCTCTCCCAAAAGCTTGCACTTTCGCACACTTTTGCATGCCACCCGTTAAGACATGTCGTCTTGTTTATGTAGCGGCGCTCCTTTGGTGGCCGCGTGGCCTGGTGCCAAGTGATGCCGGATGTTGGCGTGTCTTGGCGAGCCGGCCCGGCCCGCGTCTAGTCAAGCCTGTGCGGTGTTGTTTGCGTGCTGTGCTCTGCGGACCGTCTCCCCCCGGCCCGGTACCCTCCGCCTGCTGCGATGTCGTGTGTGGGGTACTGATCGAACCCCGTTTACCTCACAGTGGGTATCTTAGCTCTCCGCCTGCTGCGATGCTTGTGTGGGCACTGACCGAACCCGTTTATCTCACTTGGGTACCCTGGCCCTCCAGCTGACGCTGTGTGTGGTACTGACCGAACCACTTACTCACAATTGGGTACCCTGGCCCTCCAGCTAAGCTGTGTGTTGGTGACCGAACCCGTTATCACAATTGGGTACCATCGCCCTCCAACGACGCTGTGTGTGGGTACTGACCGAACCCGTT